GTTTCTTTATTAATAACTGCAGAAACTATGTAAAAGCAATGCACTTTTTTTTACAGTTCATTACAAGAACTAAGGATTAGTTCTACTCTTTTAATAATTCAAAAATGGATCTGTAAGTTTCGGTGTAAAACGTAATTTTAGGATTGTTTGATTTGTTTGTTGTTGACTCAGAGATCTCTAATAATAGGATCTTCCAGTGGAGATCCTGGCACAAGTTTTAGTTTAACAGCTCTTTAGTGGTCTCTTGAGAAAAAAACTTATTTGCTGTAGCACAGCTCCTAGTAAAAGGAGAAATATTTATATACTTAGATTTCTAACTAGTCAAGGAAGGTAGTGATAGCCACAAAACCTGATCTTCTTTTTGTGTCCTCCTGGGGTTACCCAAGCTCCAAAAGGCCACGGAACAAGGCTTGACAGCAGAGCAATTTATACAGTGAAGTGTCTTAAGTGATGTTCCCCAGAATCTAATTGCAAAGTAGATGGTAATATGCTTATTCTGTACTTGTTTAGCTGCCAGACAAGGCAGTCATTCCTTCTTAGAATATAAAGTGAGCTCTGCATTGCCAGGCACAGCAGGCTGACATTCTATGGAAGGCTAAATTTCTGAATTTCATTAGCTGTATCTGATTTTATTAATTCCTTTTGGTTTTGGTTTTCTTTTTCTTTTTTTTTTTCTTTGTGCAATAGTAATAACCTAAATGGCATCCTAATATTTCAAGATTTTGATATATGTTGTGAGAATCCAAAGAAAAATACATAAGCACTGTAGTCAGAATTGGTCCAAATACCAAGAAGTAGGATAGGAATAGGAATTTCAACTCTAGTGAAAAATGAATATGGCAGAGCTTTGCTAACTACCTGTGTGCAGATATTCCATATTAAAGGAAAGAAACTGAAATCTCACATTTAGCTCATTGGTGTAATAGATATTTTAGAGAATGTTAGGTTAACATAAATTTTAATACTTTGAATAGTAATGATTAATTTAAATATCCTAATTTTAATTTCTAATAGTGTATACTACTATCATGTAACTAATAGGAATAGCAAAAGAGAAGTAAAAAGCTTTTGGTCCTTAAGAAAATACTCCTTCCATGGAGCAAATTTAGGAGTCTGATTCCTATTCATTATGTTGTCAGAATAAACGGCACTAAAATGTTTAAATCAGTCATAGGAAAGATTTTATAAAGATTGTTTTAATCTCTAGGCATTCAGAAGCTAAATATTTATGCAGCCACTATACCTGATGTTTGAATTTTTAACTATCTTTAAATTTCAGTAGACAAAGTTGTAAGATGCAGTCATGAAATTGAGCTTGTGACACATCCTGACTCAACTCCACTGTATTCTTCCTATACAAACTGTAAATTGTCAACATGCAATGGAAGTATTCAATTACCATAAAAAAGGTATTATAAAAAAAAGTTTCAATTAGTTCTAATGAAATGTTTTTAAATAGAGAAAATAACAATAAAATACAAAATAATATGCTTGCTATGATTATGAAATAGTAAAGCAAACTACAAGAATCACTACTACTACTACTAGAATCAGCACTGCAGTATATCTGTGTCCAGTATTAGTTTATATTATTTTTATTTGTCATCACTTCAGGAGCAGGACAATAGAAAAGAGTTTTCATCTCAGATGAGCTAAAATTGAAATCTAAGCCAATAAAACCCCAGAAATTCAAACAAACTTTACTATTCAAGAAAAATGTAAAAAGAAAGTTATATCCAAACCTGTAAAATAACATGGAACAATAAAATAATGGATATGATTTAATCTGGTAAAAATGTCTGTTATATAAAGTAACTGTCAAGGACACTAATTGAATTCCCAGATGAGTGAAATGGGGGACAGGACTAATTGTGCTGGATTGGAGAAGTCTGTTCTGCCTAGAGAGGGGTGGGGGTGATGTGCAAGTTGGGGACTCAGTGTCACTTCCATGATCCTACTGCAGCTGATTTCTAATCTGTGCTGGTAGGATTTACCTCCCTTTTAGTAGCTCCTTGGAGGTGATCTGAGAGAATGAAAATTTATTACTTGTAAGAGACAAACTGTTAAAAATCAGTATGAGACATCACCTGGAGGCACATAAGGCTCATGAAAAGTCCATTTGTTAGAAAAGAAATGTCTTTTTTATTTGTAAACTGAGCAAATTTATTTTGGGTGTAATTGACAAACACTAATTATAGAATCCCACAGTGCCAGTTTTTCACAATCACTGTTCACAGTAAGCCACACTCAAAAAAAACCCTACAAAAATCCAAAAATATACTTTTTTTCCCAAGCTGTGAACATGGGAACTTCTTCCATAGCAGGAGATCCCTGCCAGTTTATTGAACTCTGGGAAAATCCCCAGAGAATGGATTATAAGTAATACTATCACTATGAACTGAGAGTGTAACACAGGAGAAAACAATGTTATTTTTTATAATTGTTCGGTTGAATGATTTCAGAATGCTTTTGGGCTGCTCAAAGGAAGCTTGTACAGCATGGGCTGCAGTCCTAGAGGCCTGTTCTATATAATTATTGCCAGTAATTGAGTGAGGTGGTAACTTTAGGGGTCTATTATCGTGATGAAATTCAAATTAAAAAATAAACGCTCTCGTGAATTTCAATACACCAAACAGACAACTTCACCAACTGTTTGCATTCATAATTTTATGGGATTTTTTTTGAGGTGTTACCTGCCCCTCAGTGAATTAGGGGTGCAGTGGTGGGAGTCTGCATCTGCTCACACTCACCTCGGGCTGGGGCACGGGCAGGAAACCTTGCAGGGCTCAGCAAGGCTGAACAGCTCCCACCTTACTTAGCAGACACTTTGATTTAGAAAAATTATATTATATGCAATCTCAGTGCCTGTTTCTTCCTCAAAAAGCATTATGTTTTCTACGAATCTCTTTAAAGTATGAGTAAGAGCCCTCATAGCATTTGGATTTTTATTGGGAAATATTTTAATAGCTTTACTTTTTTTTTTTTTTTTTTTTTTTTTTTTTTTTTTTTGCAAGTGTATTCAAATTTCTTCTTGCAAAATACGCAGATGTTCTCTTTTGAAATTGCAGTTATGATGTTCACAATTTTGCAGAAATTATCGCAGGTTTTTTACTACTTAAAAAAACCCCAAACAACTAGTCCATATTACCAGTGATTTATACTTCTAATTTCGAAATGCAGCTTCTCATAGTCAGAACTGCTGCTTTCATTTTAAGCTGCCACTACGAAAAAGCGTCCCAGAACTTACTTCACAGAAACGATAAAGTCATTCAAGGCAGTGAAAGATCCTGCTTTTTTAACCTTTCAGAAAACCCCCCAGTTGAGCAGTCAGGCTGCATTATTCTATATCTTGTCTAACATGAGGAAACAGTCCCAAAAGAAAGATATCCCAAATTAACGCCACACTTCGTTAAATAGAGACATTCTTGGTTTTCACCAAGCTAATTCGATCCAGTTCAGTTAACTCATTTTTTTTGTGCTGGGATCACGGAAGGCAGCCGTGAATGGAGCGAGTTCATCATGTGTTTGACACATCACAGTGAGGCTGAAAGGAGGCTGGGAGGGAGGGACCCTGCCTTTGGCCGGGCAGACAATGCCCCATGGAAAAGGGCCCTCATTCAAAAGGGGTCTCCAGAAACTGGCAGACTGCTGGGGATCACTGTTACAGACAGGTGGAATGGGAATTAGCCAGACTTAATGACACCTCTGGGTGTCTGGTTGGGAATGTTCCTCTAATCCAGTCTCTGTCAAATATCCTCAGATGGTTTACAGGATTTCTGTGTGAGCAAAAGTTTGCCTGCTTTGGAAATTAAAGATCACGTACAGACTAAAAAGAAAATGTGGAAAAAAAGAGATTTTTAAATAAAAAAAATTCTTTACAGAAAAATATTATCATTTATATTTTACGTATTTGCAGTTCATAATTTTTTGCATATATGTATAAAATGTATGTATTTTACATGGTTATATTTCGTAAATTTTTTGCCCTTCCACTTTTACACCATGAAACATCTCGTTTATAAATTCAGATAACAGAGTGGTGAGCAGTCACAAAATACGTTTCCTAATACAAAAAATCTTCACAATTAAAAAAAATATACATATATATGTTTTTGTATCTCCCAGTCACACATCACTCTCAAAGCCAGTACATGCAGTCTAACAAAACAGATTCTGTGTTGTGAAAGAATGTGCCTGCTGTGGTGCTACCAAGTAAATAATATTTGTGAGCCATATCCAGATTTTAAACACATTTTTGGAGAATGTTTTCTCTCCAAACCTGCTGCAGCAAGTACATAAAAACACAGCATCACTGATTTTTAAAGATACTTGCTAATAATTACACCAGCCTGTGTGGACAGTTTCTTAAGCATGACATTTAGGCAGTGGCTGTTTTTATCAGTATCAGCAACATTACGAAAGAGCTTTCCTTTCTGAATGTGCTCAATAATCACTAGGTTTATAAAAGATTATTTACTCAGTTTTAAGTACAAAATAAATGTAGCTGACAGAGGATGGCTTTTTAGCCCTAAGCTGGTGATCTCACTGGAATTTCTGCAGGAACTTTGTCCTCTGGGAGCTGCCATGAAAGCTGGGAATACATGTTAGTCTGTAGGGTTTGGTTGTTGGTTTTTGTCCATCTCATCCCAGGGACCTGTTCCTTGGATATTTCATTTAAAGTAGCACTCTGTGCTTAGGAGCTCAAGCTAAGTCTAGAGATAAGAGGAGAGATAAGGAAGCCAAATCCATAATAGCTTTTCTTGCATTTCTTAATTAGTTATTCAAATTTGATGACAAAAAAATACAAAAAATACAAAGGAATTGTGAACAAGGAATATATTAAAATTTCCTTTAATTTCTAGTAGTTTGTTTTCCTAAGTTTAACAAATCAGGAAAATAAACCATATTAAATACTGCATTCAGTACTGTATTCCAGCAGATGTTTTGGTCAAATAAGTGTGCCCTGCTAATATTTGTTTGGTATGTTTTTTCCCCCACAGTTTTAATGTGAATCCTTCTGGCTCTGAGGATCTCAGGAAAAAAACGGTGAGTTATGAAATTTTATGGAAAGCCATCAATAAATGCCAACTAAATGGTACTTGTATAAGCTTATAAGCTTTTGTTCTTTTTTAATCTCTTATATGGAAACGTTTGGGTTTGTCTTTTTTCTTTTTTTTTTTTTTTTCTGGACATATCCAGAAAACCTAAGCAGATTTACACAGGCTTAATGTAAATATGGAAGTAAAGAAGAGTTTTGCTCTCAGTATGGAGTTTAGCTGTGATATGGTAAAGAAGGATATATTTAGTTCTTTGAACAAAAAGTGAAAAAAACCCAAAAGCTGCTTTTAGGAGTGGTTTAGATGACTCTAGAGAAGTAATGGTCAAGTGAGGAACTCTGCATTAGGCAGTGATTTATTAATTGACCAGACAGGAGCTTACCATCACTATAAGCAGAGACTTGAGGACAGTCTTTAGAAGGCAGATCAAAATTAAAATTATTACCTTATATATGGTAGGATTAATAATACACATAATAAATGAACGGATGAAAACACTAAAAAATGGAAATACTGGAAGGTATAATTCAAAATGCTCTTGTTTCTAAAAGTACTGAGAATAAATTGTGTACTAAGAAGAGACAAAAAATAATCCACAGATTGCCTGGACAGTGCCTTTGTTTGAAGGAAAATGTGGTCTTACTAGAATTTGTTCTGTGAATAGATGACATCTTTAAAAGTGGGTTTGTTTTCAATCTCTGAAATATATAGAAAACAAGTTTCACAAGCAAATATGACTTTGTACCGTTTGTTTTCTGCTGGTTTATGTAAATGATTTGTAATAACATTTGATGTTATTGTAAATGCCCAAGTTTTTATAATGTAAGTAGCTGGTGGGAGATGTCAGAGTATTTGAAGGCTGCCTTTGATCAGATAGTAAACTGAATTCTACCAGGCAGTCACTTAATCTCTGACAAAAAGAGACATCAAAAAATTGATTTAAGTTAGCAGCCATTGTCTGTAAAGTAACCATAATTACAGTTTCTATGTGCTTGCAAATGTACTACTGCAAATCATGTAATTTATTGCTGGTAAAAGCATTGGTTTAATTCTTTTAAGAAATAAGATGTGAATTGTTTTATTTAAAGGATTTAAAGGTGATAAAAGAAATCCTTGATGATTTTTCTTTTGGAATACCAGCCATCTTAAATGCCTGTTATAGGATTATGAGGTGGTGCTCATTTAATGCAAAATACAAATTAGGTGGGGAAGAAACTCTATCTGAACCATAGTTTTGAATGAAACCATTTGAATTTCTTTTTAAATATTCAGGATTGCTTTCTAAGGTGTTTGATGTAATTTATTATTAGATTCTGTAATATTAGCCCTCACCAAGTTATTACATTTCTTCCTTGTGCATATTATTTAGTAATTATGTTTGTGTGTCTTCTCCTCTGATGCCAACACCTGTCTGTGAAAGCAGTGTTTAAATGGGAGCAGTAGCCAGTTGAAAGGGCAGCATGAGCTCTTTAAGGCCTAATTAAGAACTGAAAGGAAGATGAAGTAAGTAGGACAAAAGATGTGAAAGTAGCTTAGATGACATTCCCAGAGCAGAATTCCTCATTAGAACAAAGAGGAGATGATCAGGGATTGCCAGGCCTTCATTTTATCAGTCATTTCCTCTGGCTGGCAGAGTGTTCCCCAACAGGGTTTTGTAGCTGAGACAATCATTCTTTACATGGCTTGTTTAGAATCTTTTTTTCCCCCTTAATAATTCATTATAAGATTATTCTTATGCATTAAAACTGTGGTGTCTATTTTTTCTAAAGAAATAAGTGTTCCTTATATATTTAAATATTACCTACTGGCTCAAGCTGAACATACCAAATCTTCTTAATTTTTACAATATTAATTTCTAAATGCTAGCATACTTCTGCTAGAATTTTCTTGCATAATGGAGCATGTGCATGATAAAAGGTCTTTAATATATATTACACATAATTTTCCAGTAAACTTGATTGCATAATTAAAGTCATCATTGCACCTTAATTCCTGTTCCTTTGCCAAATCAGAAAATTAGGCAAACCCTATATTTCAGGCACATAAGTGTTAATGGTATTTTCTCCAGTGTGTACGAAAATTTAGTAAAGAGAATAAAATTTAATAAAGTTTTACTTCCTTCTTGTAGAAGAAAAAGTGAATATGACCACAAAGTGAAGTTACTTTCTCTTCTATACTTGTTGAAAATGGATTGCTAACCAATTTATAAATTTCATCGGATTAGCCATTTTAATAAAGTGGCAGTTACTGATTACTTACAATCCCTTAACTTGGTACATTTAAAATACTGAATATACATCCATAAATGTGGCATTAAATGTCTCAAGTGCAGGGAGAAACCCTTAAAATCACATCTTTTTGAGAGCTACTGTTGGAGTATAATTGATGGAGAGAGCTGATCTGTCACACTTCAGCCTATTTGCAGGGCACCATCACTTTTAATTAGGTTCCTTTGAAAACTTTGGCCAGCTGCATATTTTAATGGGTCGACATGTGCCAATGTGCAAATATGGAGCTGTATGGAAAGAAAAGAATGGGGCATGGAAAAGGAACGAGTATGACTGTTATGTGGTGTGCTTCTTAGCTGTGCAAGCTTTATAGTTTTTAATGACTTGCTTCTACTGTAAACAAAAACTATCTCGTGTGCCCTGTTAGAAGTGCAGGATTTTGTAGGTTCCATATCTTCTAAATGTTTTCAATTCTGAATGAGATGAAGCATACTGCTTCACATGTCTAACAGTGCTGATACTTCTACAAACCAACACAAAAGAGGACATTCAAGTTTACAGTCTTTAGGATTACATGTTGTGCTTTTTAAGATGACTAATTTGTCCATCTCTGCTAATACCTTCACTTACTGAGTCATCAGAAATCATTGCAGAAACAATTCTGTTTTCCCTACTGCTTAATTCTGGGCCTCTCCTACTTTAAAGCAAGCAAGGCCTTTTATAAGTACACATTTATTTCTGTCTTAAGTGCTCTGGTGCAAGTAAGATGTAACCTTTTGCCTTCACCTGCAATTTAAAATTGAAAGTTTTATTATGTGATTCAGAAGCCAAGGCCTGGAGAACAACTGGTGACTACAAATATGAATGTGAAAGACAGATGAGGGCTGATGTCATTTAGAGCTGAATAAATGCTTTGCTGTGATGCTCTCCAGAGGAAAATACTCAGAGAAGTTACAGTAAGAGTTGAATTCTCAGGGCTCTTCTCTTGTTACTCCATAATTAAGGGGGTTGCTTTCCCAAAATGAACCTGCCAGCTGTTGTTGTGTCACTGCTCTTATGGTCACTAACTCTGACACACTGGCTGTGTGTCCACCTCACTGAGAAGATTTTTTTTCTGAGATGACAGAGTGGGAAATGTTCATCCAGCTGGGCAGCCCATCTCCAGTTGTCTGCTCCAGTGGGGGTGCTGGAGGGAAAAGCACTGCAGCAAACAGAGGTGTTGCTGAAAGAAATTGCTTTTCATGTCAAGAGATGCACAGGAGAAACACAAAAAGCAATAACCAATTAATTTTCTGGAGATACTGAACTGCTTAACAAAATCTGGTGTTTTTCCACACTTACCTGCAGGAAGGAAATCCTTTCGATGCCGCTGCAGGATACCGAAACCTCACTTATGAGGAGGTTCTGCAGGAGCTGGTGAAACACAAGGAGCAGCTCAAGAAGAAGGACACCCACATCCGTGAGCTCGAGGATTACATTGACAATCTGCTGGTGAGGGTGATGGAGGAAACCCCCAGTATTCTCAGAGTGCCATATGAACCTTCTCGCAAAGCTGGCAAATTTTCCAAAAGCTGAGACAGTGCTACTTTCTGCTGAATACATTAGTGCAAGGAGATCACACTTTAATGTTTAGTCTTCTCTTCATTCCTTTTCTCCTAAGAAATTCCAGCAAAATGGGGAGGAGGGACAATGGCGTGGGTTTTTTCCTTTTTTTTTTTAAATCCAAACACATGTAGGGGCTGCCAAAAGTTGTTTTATGTTAGGTTACTTAACTAACTTCTTTTTTTCTTTTTGAAAATATATTTAGGTACAGAATACTTAAAATAGAGTTAATGATACATAATAAATATGTCCATGCAATTTATGTGATAGCTTAGTGTTCACCATGTGGCAATTTCAACAGAGAAGCCTGTGCTGTTATGAATGTTTTCTTGAATGATTATTGGTATTAGGCAAATATATTGATTGTTTTTTTACAGCATGCCATCAAAACCACTGTTTTCAATCCAGTGTAGTACTCTACTAAACCTGTGTGGTTTGTTGCAATGGAATGTAGTCCTGCACATATTAGAGGAAAACAGTGATGCACAATCCTTTCAGAGTAAATGCTGTATTCTATACAATGTGCTTTTTATAGAACAATGTAAAAAAAACCCCGTGCCATTTCTGTCGTGGCACATGCTGGAACCAGTTATTTTACACTTAAATGCTGAATTTTGTGCATAATGAGTGAACTTTGCTAGTGAGCTCATGACATAAAGTTGTTCTGAGGATCTTTTTGTATGAAGTTACTGCATGCCTTTTAATGTGTTAAAAGTACTTTGAACAGTGTTCACAGAGTCAGAGGTACAACTGGAGAACTCGAGTATGGAATAAAGGAATGAATGCTTCTGTTCAGTCAAAGTCTACTGCCATGAAAATGTAGCAGAAATGGAGAGGCTGACTTAAATAGACACGATAAATCAATTTAAGCTTGAGTTTTACGTGATATGTATGTCTTAACTTTTTAAATCTTATGACAACGAAAGTATACGCCTTTAGAAATAGGCCATGTTGCTTAAACACATATAGAGTACTTAGGCTTTTCATTAAAATGTCTGCATTCCATGTAAATAGTTCCAAAAGTCAGTTCTCACTGAGGCAAATGAAAGAAGAATGTAGTAAATATCTTCCTGATAATTTAATAACTGTTTGTAAAATGATGTATGAAAAAGGTATCTGTTATTCAATGAATTGGAAAAAAATAGTGATGAAGGTATAATGGGAAAGTACTGTAGGAGAACCCTCAAAATATTAAGATGAATAGATTTTAACTTTAATTTCCTTAATAAGAGTCTTACTTGGATTTTCTGTTGCTGTGAAACAGTAAAATGTTATTTAAAACATGTACAGAGAATATTTTAGATTTGGATTTAGGGTAATTGTCTTTTCCTCACTTTCTGCACCTGATCTGTTGCATTTTTTTACAGCACCATGGCATGGCTGCTGCTGAGGTGACCAAAAACAATGTAAATTAAATTCCACTTTTTTTGTTGTTGTTGTTGTAGAAGATTTTAATACATTTTCATTTTAAAAACTGCAGAAATTGGTCATATTTTGAATACTTATATGTCTAAGGGTTGAGAAAGTTCTGTCTGACTGCTTTTGATGTCATTGGTATTGTAGGACAGCACAGAAGTATACTAGTTACAAAAAAACTTCTTTGTACAAACATTACTTGAATACTTATATGTGGAAGGGTTGAGAAAGTTCTGTCTGACTGCTTTTGATATCATTAGTATTGTAGGACAGCACAGAAGTATTCTAGTTACAAAAAAAGCTTCTTTGTACAAACATTACCAGATTTAATTTACTTATTTTTGGCTTTTTCTCCATTATTTTCTTATTTTATTTAGCAACTATTAACCAATCCCTGCCCCTAAAACTGTGTGCAGCCAGAGTTCCCAACCAGTAGGATCCCTTTGTGTGGATCCCTGTGCCTGGATGGATCCTGAGAGGTGCCAGCCCTGCCCGGCTGTAGAGCTCTGCATTTGAGTTTTGTAGTGCAGAAATCCATCCCACACCAGGCAGTCTCTCTTTTGTCAGCATGAGGATGCATCAAGTTTGGTACCTCAGAAACCACGTGAATGTTCTTTAGACCCACTTAAGATCTCGATGACTGTAAATATGTTGTAATATATTCAAAGTGCCAAAGGTTGTGTACTAGTTCATGGTATGTTTGCTGATGGAAGTTGGGGTTTACACTCAATTAGGTTTTCATTTTCTAATTACACCGAGATGTATTTCAGTTACTCAGTATTTCCATAAAAGTTCTTAAACATTTTCAAATGCTTGGCCAAAGCCAGCGGTTTTCTCATGGTGTTGGTGGGGAAATGTTCTGCTATAGTTTTGAATTCCACACTCATTTTCAGCTATCTGGTATGAGACCATCTCTAGTATCCTCAGTGCTTAAATCATCCACACCAGTGAGGATTAACAACTGCACTAACCAGAGAATGTGCTCCAGTGACTTCTCACATGCAAGCCAACTTATAATTATTAAAATGAAACTCTACTATATTTAGCACCACTGAAATCACTTCTTTTAGAATGTAAATGTAGAATATAAAACTGCATAATTGACTAAAAGCAGATCATTTGACATATTTGCATACCAAGAACGATAAGCAGATTAAAGGTAGCGAAAAGATCAATTTTTGTGCATTAGTGAAGAAATTTAGTGAAGCTTTGAATGTGCTATCTAGTCTTTATCTGATCTCTGAGTGAATAAAAGCATCTTTTGTTTCTAACAATTTGTCAAGAAAGAGGGGAGAACAACAAATGCAATTTAGGAAAAGGTAGAGTTACTGAGAAGCAGGATGGGACATTAACAATTATGAAGATATTTTTATAGAGTTTATAGGTAAAAATACAGGCTACTTTTGGAACAATTCTTGAAAGATTACATAAACATCATTTTCTGCTTCGAAAGAAAATGTTAACTTTTAAATGTTAATTTTCCTGTATTCTGAGATTATTTTTAAAATGCATCTTTACCCCACATGTATTTTTTGAACCATGCAGCTTTCAAATGAAAACTTCTTATACAGAGTAATTTGTATGTTGAAAACAAAGGAAGTTGAGTTTTTCCTATAGGATAAAATTGTAGACTTTCTTGCAGATCATTTTAAACCCATAAAAACTTGCCACTTGTGGTCAGTCTTTCTTGCCCTTTAAAATACAGGGATAAAAATTGTGAAAATCTCCATATTATTTTGATATTTTCTCTCCTAAATTAGGATAAGAGTTCATCCATGCATGCACTATATTTTGAAATCATCCTTTGAAACAGCTCTTCCATGAATTTTGCTTACTTAAAAGGACAAATATGAAGGCCATACTTTAATGTTGTAAGTCAGAAATGTAAACTTTCTGCCATTCTAGAAGGATGTTTAGTATTTATGTATGTTACCTCTTGCTGCTGTATTTTAAGTTTAGCTTGGTTTTCCACCTCCTAATGAATGTAGCATTCTCCCTAGATTATAACTGCATTTATTGCTGTTGGCTCTGTGTCAAGAACTATTTGTAATTTTCCAGCTGTGGAAATGCTGCCTTGTATTTAGAAAGGTTTCATGATTTGGGGACCTGATGGAAATCATGCTCATTAGATACTAGCCTGCATTTCTTTCTGTACAGGATGCCCTTTCTTGGATGCATCTTAAAACAAACAGAACTGCTGTCTTAATGTGTTTACTGCTGCACTGGGGGTTTATTTATGCTTCCAGCTTTAAAGAAAGATTATTGTCCTCCATCAAGTGTGTAAAGTGAGCTGATGCTTTTCTGCTCGTTGTACCATTGCTGTTGTAGCTATGACAGAGGCGTTAGCCGGGCTTTCAAAAAGGTGAATTTAGAGCATGTTGACTAACTTGCCCTTCTTTGAAGTACTTGCTGAAGGGTTATAGCTCTGCTGTGTTCATGATGCTAGATTTAAGGGTCTGTCAGCACTTTCAGTAGGAAACCCTATTTTCAGGGATTTGTAACTTAAAAATTTCAATACAGTCACTGGAAGTGTTTAATATGCAATAGGTAGCACTTTATTCTGTTTATGAAGGGGTTTGAGATTTGTTTCTGTTGAAAAGGTCACAGTCTCCTAAAGCATGGTGGGCATTTGCTTTATCTTCTATAATTTCTACATTGAGGAAGCCACTGTATGTTACAAGTGGTCGAGCCATTCCTATTCAACTTAGAAGCTTCCAGATGTATTACAGTGTATTATAAAAAGCTGAAGATCCAGGTTATATAGGAAGTCTGTAAAAGATAGGATCACTACTTATAACTTAAGGAGTTTATTTTGTCTTGTGCAATCAGTGGTAGTTTGTCTACATTTAATAATGGTACAGAATCATAACTATATGCACTTGGGAGAACTATAAACTTAGAATGCATGAAAAACTTTATTTTTGTTCCATTATTGCAACTTCAGATCCTTTAATTTGATGAAAATGTTATCTTAATATTTTAATTTCTGTTCATTAAATAAATATTGCATGTCTAACACTAATAAAGCACCACAATGCACTACTGCAGTATTTATTGAATTGTGACATTAATCTGTGTTATGCAAAGCATGTGACTCCTAAACTCCATGGTGTTAAGGCTCCCAGACCACAGAGAGGGGTATTTCCTTAGGGACAGCTCTAAATGAATATCCCAGATGTTTGCAGGGTATTCATTATGGGAAATCTCTTCAGTAATGTCCAAAACTTAAAATTAGTGAAAAAAATTGTGTATTCTTAAATGTCCTAATCTGTATGTCTTTTTTAGTATGGTATCTGCAATCCTTTTAAATGCACTATTCCTCTGATGCCATGGCTGAGTGAATATTACCAGGAGATCTTTACACTGCAGGCTGGAGCATTTAGCATGAGAACAAACACTGTGCAAATTCTGATATGGAAAACATGACACATATTTCTCTTAATACTTGACAGAACAAAAACCCAGCCAGAATGGCAGAAAACTGGAGCATCCTGACCCATTGCCCAGGAGTATTTTTTTTCAGTGCTCTCACAGGTTTTTCTCTTTTCCATGAAGCAGCAAAACAGCAGAGTCTATCCCCTGACAACAGCAGGTTTTCTGGATGGTGAGGAGGTATGAGAGCAGTCCTGGTTTGGGACAAGAACCTTGTGAATCTTCCACCCAGCTTCTTGGAGCTTTGAATTCCACAGGGATGTGATTCCTCACAGTCAGTTTGCTCTGTGAGCAGGTCCTTTGTCAATACATCTGTGGACTTAAAAAGCTTAGAGAGAGTTCTTCTCTTAGAGGTGTCCATGAAATGTGGTGGTTGTGGGGAATCACAGCCAGTGTGTGAGCTGTCCATGGACTTCCACTGTGGTGTTACACTGATCCCATCAGCTGTGTCTGGCTCACAGGTTTTGCAACTGCCCTGGTGTGTGAGAGCTGAGGAACGAGGACAGGAGGGGAAAGCAGCACACTGCCTGTTAAATACCAGTTTCCATCTGTAATTCACATCTGGTAACTAATCTCAGCTCCTGTGCCCGTTTGGAAAGGGAGTCACACCATTTCCCTCCCTCAGAGGCATAATGTTTGTTAGCTGATACCAGCCACAATCCTACTGATGATATGAGAGCCCAGCTGGCTTAAACAGCTTCCAGTTTCCCAACATGGAGTTGTCTTTGGAATTGTCGTTACTAACCATCTCAACCCCCTAATAAACGTTTTCAAGGATACTTTAAATATAGTTTAGCAGTTAAAGAATTATTGACATTAGATGTAAACTAGAAGTATCATGAAGGAGAATTCTCTCTCCAGTTGCACTTATTGAAGTTGCTTTTTTATGGAACCACAGAATAACAATCAGGATTTTATTTCCCTATTTTGATTTGTTTTTATGGGAGTGTTGTGCAAGTTCTGGCTGCAGCTCACTTGGGATATGTTGCCCTTTTCTGTAACACTGGGCATGTTTGTAAAGTTATAAATAATGATGATTAAAAATGCATCTCTTTTTCTGGATTAATTAATTAGAAATTGGATTATTTTGTTGGATTGTTTTGTAATAGTGCCGTTTTATGAGATAGGAATAAGACTATCTACTAAAGGAAGCTGTTTTTTCTTTACTACTTATTGAGTAATTATGAGAGAAGGCTACCACACTGAGTGCAGCCCAGCCTGGAAAGTGTGTGGCATTGATTGTGTAATGTTTATATAAATATCAGTATTTTCAGTGCTGGAAGCCAGTGGCTATTACATGGGGATTATTGCAATGTATTTATAATGTGTTTTTACAGCATTTAGTAATGTAGATCAGTCTTTGATAAATGGATGATGATTTAGGACAGAAAAGTACCCTCCGTGGCTAAACACTGACATGTTTATACTTTAAAAGTAAGCAGCTTAAAAAGCTTTTAGGGCCATGCAACGATTAAATGAAGCTGAATACTAAAAAGGGGAGAAACTTTGTGGGATGTGTTTTGTTTGTGTCAGCCCAAACAGTGTCTGCTGTGTGACATGCAAGGAATGAGTAGAAGCAACACTGGGGAGAGGCCATTGCTGGGATCCAAAAAAACCCAACAATAAAAGGTTGGTAGGGTTAGGAGTCAGATTTTAAGGGATTTACTTGCCCAGTATGAGCCAGG